CCCGCATACCTCAGTAGGCTGGTGCCTTGCCGCCCAAATGCCAAGTTCCAGAAAACAGCATGGAAAAGTTTGTGGTGCAAATAGGATTTACTGATTCATTTTCCATTTCACTGACGTTTGAGATTGGTGACTTTTCCCCCAAACTGTCTGTACACAGTCCCATTGAAGTGGGACTGTCTCTAGGGTGAAAGGGAGCTGAAGAATTCACAACTGCTTAACAGGTATCCATGCGCCATTAGTGGGTACCAGGGAAAAAAACATGCCAGCAAGGTGTGATGAGGTGTTTGCTCCAGATGTCTGTGTGTTTCTTTTTGTTGTTGTTGATGTTGTCGTCTACATGCAGGGGACTGCTCTCTGCCCATGCCTCAAAGTTACAAAACGGGTCTGGCATTTGAATCTGCAGTTGCAGAGAATTTAAGTGTTCTGTGTCTGCTTCTGAAGCCTGTTATTTGAAATGTGGGGTGTTTACGATGGGGATGCGCAGCTCGAGACCACCTCTACTAAGTGCATTTTAACGAAACAGCAGAGAAGCACTGTAGCACAAACACAGGCAGTTAGAGAAATGCTTGCGACCAGTTGTCCCCATGATCCCTGCAAAGTTCAGCTAAAACAAACAGGAATTGTGAGGAAATGGCCATGAAGAACATTTGACAACGTGCTGTAGTGTGCATGTCTTGAGCACCATTAAGGAACATGGCAGCCTTCCAGGTGTAGTGGAGGAGCTGGGCGCACATCTGTACCACTCTCGTGTTTCTTGCAGCAATGAGATAAAATGAATCTCAGAACCACGACCTGTTTTACAATTTGTTGTTTTCACTTAATGTGTTGCAGGAAATGACAGCCAATGTACTACTACACTTCCGGCTTCCTAAACTTGTCAATAAGGCACTGCCATGATTTTCCACGTTAGGTTCAGTTTCTACGCTTTGTTCAGTAGTCTTCCTAAACATATAGGGCCTGATTTCCTAACATGCTGCTCAGCAATCACAGTATGAGTTGGATTATGGGGAATTTGGCATGTAGGCAGCAGTATGACTGAAACTACAGTTCATAAAGTTGTTTTATTATGAATCCATTAAGAATTCTGCAGTTTGGTGGGTAACTTCCATGTTTGGGGAGCTTTAAGTGACGTGCAAAATGTATTATTGCTTATTCAAATGTGATAGAAATGAATAGACAGGAATAGAAATGCAGAGGATGCTTGGGCCACATCTGTCACCTGCATCCCAGTATCGATAGCGTGGAAATTACAACAGCGGAGCTCTCTGTTGATACCACCGAACTGAAAATGGGCTCAGCGTTTAGTTAGTCAAGGTGAAAGGCTGTGCAACTTAAATCCCTGTGAAACTTGTCCGTATAGATATAATACTGTGTGGTACATGCTTCCTGCTTTCGGTGGGGCAGCTTTTATAGGAGGCTTTGCAGCTTGCACGATATTTTTTGTTGTGGCTCTTAACATTGTGCCCCAGGCTCCACTAAATAGACAACCTCATTAAAAGAGAAATAGCGATAGTAAAGCAGTGACTTTCTCATGCCATCTAACTCACATATTTGACATGATTGCTGGACCCTCCAAGTACTTAATTGATTGACTTAATTGATTTAGTGGCACTGGAGGCTACAGCATGGAAATAAAGGGGCAAGATGAGGATAAGGGGTGAAAAAATTTATGATAGGTGCCAAGCAGCCTGAGGGAAATTAGAAATGCTACAGATCTCAGAGGCAGCTAAATCAATTCAGTGTGATGTACAGGGAGCAACCTGGGGGAAGAGGCGAAGCGGGGTATAGAATGGAGAAAAGGAGAGAAAATAATGGTTAGTGGGAGTGACCAGAGTAAACCTAAGGGGAAGAGGGAAGACAGCAGCCTTGGTGGAAGTGGGCATTTTGGACTTCTTTAAGTTCAACGCCAGGACAAAACTTTTTCGTATATGAGTAAACTATAATAATGACATCATGTTTAGCCTAATAAGAAGGACTCATGCATCACAAGATTGTCTTAGTTTTCCAGTTTGAGACGTCATCTGTGCTTCCATTTAAAATTCGCTATGTTTAAAACAGTGACTAAAGTCACAGGAGACCTAAAATAATTTGGATGCTCTGTACAGTGGATTTTTTTTAACAACTGAAGCTTAAATGTTAAATTACTTTCTAATCTGTGCAATATTTAATTGACTGTATTGAACCATAATACAAATTAAGTCTTCTCTATAATTTGTTCTGTCTTAATGCCATCCTCCAAAACAATTTGATACCTCACTTATGAATTGGTAAATGGCTCGTAGCAGCGCTCAGCAGATACAGTAAAAACATCAAATAGAGTGTGGTGGAATCCATCAACATGAGCATACGGGAGTGTCATAAACATCCCTCAGTTATGAAATAATTCTTTTATGTGCTTCTGACCCACTATAGACGGGATTAAGTCATGGTAAAATCTTGAAGATATTTAAAAAAAAAAAAAAAAAAAAGGCTGGGGAAAAAGAGGGGCATATCAGCTTGGGAATATTAACTGTTGAGCACTGACAAGTAGTTCTGCTGTAAGCAATTTTGTGTGGCTGTTTTTCCATTTCCTTTCAGGACTGTTCATACAGAGTGTCGAGAGGGTGACTAGACATGAGTAGTTACAAACTGAGGGATAAAGATGACGTTTCTGTTGGTTGGTCTCATTTTACAGGGCAGATTAATCTATGCGAATGCATCAGGTGCAAATCTAATCAAAACGTGCAGAGAGCATGCATTTATAGATAGCCTCCGTGGCAAGTCTCCATTGGGTGGCTGGCTGAGACGGTGTTTCTTCTCATGCTGTCCCTTCTGCTGTCCTTTACTCCAGTGCATGTCTTGCTGCTGTGAAGGACTCTGCAGTAGGCAGGCTGCGTCCTTAAAACAAAAGTTTGCAAAAAGGATCCAGTTCTGATCTTGCATTTTATGATGGTGAATCTTAG